CTACCCAGACTAGTAAACACAGAGTATGCTTAAAGTGAGTGTGGTACTATGATCTAACTACCCAGACTAGTAAACACAGAGTATGCTTAAAGTGAGTGTGTTACTATGATCTAGCTACCCAGACTAGTAAACACATAGTATGCTTAAAGTGAGTGTGTTACTGCTACGATCCTCCTTATGCAGTAGTATATACAGAATCTCACAGATGTACAATGTTTAACATACAAGAGTCGAAGTCTCGTTGTTTTGATTTTTTCCAGTGGTCCAAAAGTTCAAAACATTGAAGTTTGACTGTCGTTGTATTATCAGGTTAGACTGTGATACTAGTTTTAAAATCAGGTTAAACATTAACAGATACCAGTCGTAAATTCAGGTAAGACTCACAATGATACCAGTTTTCAAACAGCTTAACCATAATACCAGTTTTTATATCAGGTTAAACATTGATACTATAGTTATAAAATCAGGTTAGATGATAGGATCATACACTTTGGTTGAAATGCAGGTTAGATTAAGACACAATGAGACACTCCCCTGTTATTTCAGCAATCTGGGTAAATGGTTCATGTTAGCTGCAAATATTTCAAAATTTTGACCACCTTTCTTAAAAAATGATATGCTTATTCCAGGGATACCTGACAGTAAATTTGTTTGATATTTGATCAAGTAGCCTTTCAATTACCTTAACACCTAGTTGCCTTGTTTTATTGCCAGCCCCAGGAGAAGCTTCATTTTTCCTTTGCTTCCAATTGATAATTGATTCCAAGGTTGAAGGGACCTAAGGACCAGGTTAGCTATAAATCGATGTTAGACCATGAACCCAGTTTAAAATGCAGATAAGACCACAAGCTACAAATAAACACAACAGATATTGGAGTTGCTATTTATATTCATTGGTAATTAGTTTCACTTTGCTTACAGTAAAAAAATTGATCAAAATTAAATATTTGCTGAGATTAATTCTGAAACTAAACTGCAAAATTTTGATACAATGAATAAATATCCCACAGGTAAATAGAAAGCTAAGTGTGACTCCTGGGGCACTATAGGGTAACATTGTATACTACGTGTGGATTACTTTAACATCAGTTAACATGTACTTAAAACATAGGAATACTTGAAGGTAAATGAACAAACATCATTTTACTGACTTGTTTTTTATTCAAATTTTACAACTGCTTGTAAAATCTGTTGTATTTTTTTCCTCCAGATTTCTCGGGAAATTTCCCAGCGAGGGCTTTAGTGCAAGTGGCAGCTCTTCCAAGGGTTTGTACCTGTACTGTAATTTCTAGACACTCCAGGTCTGATATTGATGCTGTTGTATTAGTGACTAAATATATCTCTTACACATTTAGTGACACAGTAAACACGGCTTGTGGTAACTTCTGATCGAAGCTTACATTGGCATTCACAATCTTATTTCAAATGTCGTTTGACCTATGAACTTGAACTTGAACTGTCAAAGTCCAAGATGGATGCCTGGCAGCCATCTTGTTCTTCTGACTGATCAGAAAATTAGACATGCAAAACCAAGGACCAATGAGAAACTTCTTGAAAAATAGTAGTAATAAATTTGAACTATCAAAGTTAATGATGGCTGTCTGGTGGCCATCTTGTTTTTCAGATCAGTCTTAAAAAAAAAGTAACAGTTCTCTTATAGTGTTGTCTGTGGAGGTACAGCTTACAAAGATAACACTGTAGGAGAAAAGTTCCCTTGGGAAAGGTAATAAGGGGTTAATAGTCTGGCGTATTTCTATTCATATTTATCCATTATGTTGTATAAATGAGTTCTGTGTTAAATTTATCCATTATGTTGTATAACTGATTTCTGTATTAGATTTCACTATTTGAACGATTTTTTCCATCATTGCCATATAATTATCTTGTCAATTTCAACAGCAAGAAAATACTACCTATGTTGTAGGGTGCCAAGGTGGAAATAGAAGCCATTGCCATTGTTGGACCGATTACAGAAGAGAGTTGATCCATCTCCCACCGTGACCTGGACATAGAAATCAGCCATCATATCGTTAACTAACAGATTGGGTAGCATGCCCTTGTCTGTCTCTAGACACCAGTCATGTTGTATATTACATTATATGTAGTATTTCAGCAAAGTTTCAAAAATGATTTTGTGTACTTGTGATATATCCGTAGTGAAAGTTGGAAAGCTGTTTGTATCTTGTACAGATTAAAGCAACATTTCTAATTAATATTATTATCAATTTTATTTATCAATAAATTAAAATATCTAACCCTTTACAGGTATGTTGTGAAATTATTTTAAAATAGTCCTTAGTGTGTGCATTATCAATGGAAAACAAAAAATCCCAGAGGGATCTTGGTGTCTACCATCTTCATTATTTTGATGTTAGTGGATCTTTTCTCTTCTTTTCTCTTGTCTGTTTGATTAGTTTGCCTGACAACCATCTTGATCTTCTGATCAGCCTCAATCGTTAACATGCATCACTAAGGACCAAGGAGAACCCTCATATCAAATTTGAGAAAGATCCATCCGGTACTTCCTGAGAAATAAAGATAACAAACTTTAACTGCAAGAAAATGGCCACTTGGCCACCATCTTGGTTTTCAGATCAGTCCAAAAATTCTATATTCATAACTAAGAACAAAGAGATACCTTCATGTGAAATTTGAGAAAGATCCCTTTGATACCTTTTGAGAAATAGCGCTAACAATCTTTCATTTCTAAATTCAATATGGCCACTTGCCGACCATCTTGATTTTCCAATCAGCCCCAAAATTTGAAAAGCATTTACTAGGAACCATGGGGAGCCTTCCTGTAAAAATTGAGAAAGAATTCTCCTGTACATTTTTAGATATAGTGCTTACAAATTTAAACTCAAATTCAAGAGGGCTGCTTGTCAGCCATCTTGGTTTTCTCTTCAGTCCTAAAATTTGATTTGCATAACTATAAGGACCATAGGGAACCTTCATGTGAAATTTGAGGAAGAAACTTCTAGTACATTCTGAGAAATAGCGAATCAAAACTTTAAATCTCAAATTACAGTTATTTTGCTTTAGTGGTCCCAAAATTTGATATGCATAACTAAAGGCTATGGGGAATCATATGAAATTTTAGAAAGATCCCTCATGTACTTTCTGAGAAATAGCACTAACAAACTTTACCTATAAAATTCAAGATGGTTTTCGATATGCCTAACAAGGGACCATGAGAAATCTTCATGTGAAATTTGAGACAGATCTCTGCAGTACAATCTGATAAATAGCATTAATAAACTATAACTCTCAAATTCAAGATGGCTGCCTATCGACCGACTTGGTATTGTGATCAGTCCCGAAATTGTATATGCCAAACAAGGGACCATGTAAAAATTTGAGAAAAGATACCTCCGGTGCTTTCTAAGAAATGGAAAAAAATTAAAGTACTTCCTTTGGTTGGAACTACAAATGAGGGTGCTTCCTCCGGTTGGAACTACAAATAAGGGTACTTCCTTCAATTGGATCTATAAATAAAGGTACTTCCTTCGATTGGAACTACAGATAAGGATACTAATTTCGATTGGAGCTCTAAACAAGAGGCCCAGAGGGCCTGTATCGCTCACCTGAATATGTTTAAAATAATTGGTATGAAGTAAAGATATAGCCCTCCATGATAGGTGCTGTAAGTACATATGAAATTTCAGAAAACTCCATCCAGTACTTGAGATATAACAAATTTCAAACAGAGCCCCACCCCTATGCCCCTAGGGGGGTCATACCCACCGTTTATACAAAATTGAGTCCCCTTGGCCAAAGGATGCTCCAGAATAAATAAGGATAACATCCCTTAATCACGATGGTCGAAAAAGGATTTTAAAGGTTTTTACCTCTATTTCTCCTATTGGACCCTGCCCTTCTGCCCCCTGGGAGACCAACTCCACTGCTTATACAAAATTGATTCCCCTTGGCCCAAGGATGCTCCAGACTAAATTCGGATAAAATCACTTAATCCCTACGGTAGAAGAAGGATTTACCTCTATTTCCCCTATAGGGCCCAGCCCCTCAGGTCCC